TATATTTCTTTTCTATTTGCAGTTATGGTCAAGTAACTAAAATTATTATTATTACTATTAATAGTATGTTAATTAATTTTAATGTCTAATGTTGCCAGTTATGCTTGAAAATGAAAAACAGAAGCTGATTGGTTGCCATGGGCAACTGCTCCAGATTCTGTCTGCTTCAGTTTTCATACATTTCCGTCATTGTTTTGTTCTCTAGGAATTATGAAGGCTGCTGATGCTGACCGTTGCTTCTGAAAATACTTGTTCCCTGGCTGCCTTGCTTGCTGCATGTCTAAAAGTATTAAAACCAGAGACAGCAACTAGCATTTTCATAATGGGGTCTGCAATGAAAGGCTCATGCACACATGTACATGAACATGTACAGCATTAAATCAAGTGTATTGCTGCCTCCAAGGAACCACAGGTGCTTACGAGCTAGCCTGCAAAAAAAACCCAAATGACACTGTCTAACCACTAGGGCTAAGAACAGAGGTTTTAGTTGCACAACTTTTGCAAAATATGTGGAAGCCACACTGCCTCGTCCAGGGTTCTCTGTGTAGTGTGATCCTAATTGTAATTTTTCAGAGCCCTAATCTTGGAGCATATATAGCAGTAGATACATTGAGTGCAGGTATGCATGGAGGTAGCCCAATCCTCTTTAAAGAACAGGGACACACTAGAAGCCCAGCACATCACAATGACAGCTGAAGCCCCCAGTGTGTACCCGCACCAAATCCAACGAGTGAACAAATGTGTTTCACAATGTGTCGCTATGACTGTGACAAATTTAAACAAAATGACTTCCACTTTATAAATAACAAAATTGGAGGTAATTAAGACCAACTCTAAGTTGATGAGCAGAGACACGCAAACATGCCCTGCTCTTTACACAGTGGGGCCTCAATGGCCATATTTGGCCAATGATGTCTGCCAGCTTCCCCCATACCTAATTTACATTCAACTGTTGGCTGGATAATTTCCTGGCAGGCAGATGAATGGGGTTGGGGATGCATCATTAGTTGCTAGAATGCTGTTGCTTGCACAGTTGATGGTGTCTTAGCAACAAATAATGGAGGGCTAAACATACTTAGATTGACAGTGGGCACAGCCTGTTGACTGATGGGACTAGTTGGGTTTATTCCACCCACTGCCATCCACTGTCAATCTTAGAGGTGGCAGGCCTGGTGGGGAACTGCTTTTCACAAATTATACCCCCCAAGAGAGCTGCATTGTAAAATACAAATATTTATCTGGGTATTACTGTTCTGAGTCCTCCACTTTCTATTGCATTGTTCTAAGTTCTAAAGAAAGGGTGACGTGTTAGCCTCTAAACGAATTGGCTTTCTTAAAATTTGATCATTAAACCTTTTATAGACTGACATTTAATTGGTTTGGCACTCATTATTTTGAACCCCTTTCTGAAGAGGAACCAGTCCTCTCAGCAGCTGAACTTATTGTCCGCTGCACTGGTTGTGTGACAGGGGCAGTGGCTGGGCAGGGAGCCCAGTAATACTGAGCATTTGATTTTTTTCAGGCTCATTGTTACTGAGCTGCACTGAAGATGGAGTGTCCAGTATGGGCACTCTGACCTCAGGCCTGCTACCACCATCTCTCCAAGTGATAAGTTCATGTTCCGATTTCCGATAGGTACATGAATCTGTCATGGGCACCAGCATTTGTCATGCAAAGGCAAAACACAATTCTATATAGTGTCTACAACACTCAGGGCTTGTAGTGTAATTAACATATACATGTCATACTATTTTGATAAATGCAATGTGTGAGCAAAAGCCTGATTTTAATGTTAAAATACTCAACTCTTAACTAAAGGGGCAAATCCGACTAAAACTGATATTTTAACTTTTGGTTGATGCAAGGTCTGATGTGGCCATTGTGAGAGAACCTCAGTCTCCCTGTTCTTATTTTATTTATTTATTTAATATTATGGAGAATGCAACAGAATTAGTGGAACATGCAGTAACAGCCTCTGGAAGCATGGCAGGGAGATATAACTTGGTCTACCAAGCTCCAGCTATATCCAACATATCTCTTTTAGCTCGACTGACCCTTTAAAATATGCCTCAAAAAAGTTTTAAAATATCCGTTTTACAGAAAAATTTCCTGAGATCATTTACACGTTTTATAAACAATCATTAAAAAACACAATAGGTGTGTTTTGAAAAACAAAACTTTACAATAACATAACAAAATCTTTATAGCGATAACCCATTCTAATGCTTGCGTTAACTAATCTGTGCTCAGTGGTGTGTAATCAACAGCTACTTTGACCTCTGTATAAATCTAAAGAGTTATATTCATATATTTCAACTGACGCTACAAGCTTCCTGGAAACCTCTGCATTTTTGAAAGTCCTACTGAGTTCTAATAGCAGTAATATATATTCCAGTGTATGTCTACTCTAAAAAAAAAAACCTCCAGTTTCAGTGGAATTTAATCTGTATGTCTCAGAGCCCAGTAACAAATTAGTTTGGACAGATTTGTGAAATATATACAAGGCACCAATAACACTGATGGATAAGCACCAACAATCTGTTTGATGCTTTTGGCTTTTTAACCCTGTAGCTTTTTATCTCTTGCAATAAAATAGAAAAACAAAACACCTCAAAGAGGAAAGGAATGCACAGTAGCTTAACCCTTCTAAAAGGTAACATAACTGCTTTTCTGGGTCACTGCTCTTTGTAGTCGCTGTTAGGAACCCTGCTGTGAGTGGTTTTCTTTACCAGAAACAGTTTATGTAGATTTTGTTGGGATAGGCAACATGGTGGCTAAGGTGACAGCACCCTTACCTTGCAGCACTGGGGTACACCAGACACCATAGGTAGCCAACATGTATGTTCTCCCTGTGTTTGCACGTCAGGATTTTAATTCAACCCAAGATCAAAGAGACCCTGCCGCGCAACCATTCATTTCAACAACATTTTTCCCATAAGATTATATGTGCATTTAACATATTTTAAACATGTTATTTACCTGTAAAAGCCTCCCTGTAAACATTCAAAAACCCTGAGACTGCTGCTGAGTTCCACTATCTTGAATGTGACATCAGCAGCCCCAGCAGACTCAAAGCTGTCACTCAAGTGGCACTCTATAGTTTTTTCCTTCCCTCCTCCCCTGGCAGCTACATAAAAGATTATGAAGATAGATGAAGGAAGGGGCGCCAATAGTTTCCACCCTGCTCCTTCAACGATTGAAAAATGTACTTTTGTTGAATTGGGTGGTGCTAGCAGGGCCATCCACAGCTTGAATTTTGGCTCTTTCAGCAAGAATCAGATGAAATTCAAGCTGCGGATGGCTAGCTTTAGTGAACAGGCCCTGCTTCAGTTAATGTGTGAGCTTTAATACAAATGACAATATACAGGATTCTGCCACAACGTTTGATTAAATCCTTGTACTATACATAACTGTAAGGGGAGGATCATTTTTATCAGGAAAAATCAAGTCACATTTTATGATGTGGTCTTTCTCTCATCATCCTTCCTGATTTCAGTCATGTTGGTGGCTATTAAGTAACAGAAGCATATTTATAATAAAACCACATGATTGCCACTTTGTTAAATTAGCTGAACTAAGTATCCTTCTTCAGACTTAAACACAACATAATAGCACAGGTGATTTTGTTACATAACCATTCCTCTTTTTATGCAAAACATACTATTATATAAAATACCTTCAAACCATCTAAACCCATGTGGATGATGATGATGAGAGGTATAAGCGTACAGAATAGTAATTAGAAACAGTGATTTTCCCCAAATTCTAACAAGGTTCTCCGACAATGTTGAAAAGTATGTTTTTCTAAATCGATTACGCAATTCATTTTTGCCACCTATTCTACCTTGGATGGGGGAGATTCCTCCGTCCATTTGAGTACAAGAACCCGACGTGCCACAAATAATGCTCTTAACGCAGCCGGCACATTATAATATTCTCATTCCGACTGTTCAAACACCCCAAAAATACACACCATGGGAGAAAAAAAGGATACTAGTCCCAAAAATCACATTTAAAGAGTTTACTATAGATTCCCAATATCTTACTAATTTCAGGCAACGCCACAGCATCAGTGAGCCCGGCTCCATCCTTCATTTAGGACATTTTGCATCAGGTCTGATGGCGAGACTAAAAAGAAATGCAGGGGTCTGATAGTTTTGTTGTAGAATTTTCAGTTGAGTCATTCTACAAGTAGCAGATAGGGATGCCCTTTGAACTGACCTTTTAATTGCCCTCGATGTCTCATCTTCTAATCTCTCTTCATCTAATTCCCAACCAGTCATAGCCAAGAGGAAATTTCTGTAAAGATTTCTGCAATAGTGAGCATATATGTCTGAACATTACTACATACTGTAGGTCTGAAGAATTACAGACCACTTGAATGCACCCTCTAAGTTTACAGGAGCAATAGTGTTGATTTAATAAAGGCAAATCGGTTGTTCACTTTGCAATGTAATTAGCACTTTGTAAGGGAAGTTGTCCTTTTTTGGGAATGAGGTGAAGCTCTGGTAACTTCCATCACCTAATCATGAGCAAGCAAAAATGCTGTGTTTTTATTTTCCTTGCACATCATTGGGTATTCTTTACCCAATGATGTGCAATGTGAAATTTCACCAAGCTAAGGGAAACCTCTCCCGCAAAGTGCAAATCCCCTTGCAAACTGGACAACATATTTGCCTTTAGGAAATCACCCCCAATGTCTTTTAAGCTGACCTGCTCTCTATGTACTGTATGTCTCCTATTTTTTCTCTTCCTCTCTATTGTTTTACATGTACCAATAATAATCTTAATACCATACAAAGCTTACACTATGAATTACTTTTACCTTTTGTCTGTTTCAATTGCTCAATATACAAAATAACACATTCATATTTTTGGAAATATTGGCACCAATACAAAGAAACAAACCTCAGAATATCAAAAACATGTTTTTACAGATCAACTACCTGCAAACAAACAGAGAAAACCTTTTCAAGTTAACAACAGTTCATAATGAAGCAATGGTGAAAAATCTTTCACCAGGAGAAGACTACATCTTTGAAATTGTGACAATTAAAGGACAACATTCCAGTGTACCTGAACAGATAACAGCAGCTACCAGTAAGTATGTTTTTTATAAAATTTTGTGGTGCGCTACCCACTACCACCAAACAAATCCAATAAATACAAACAACGATCTGCTAATTGAATTGCATCAATTCAATTAGCGGTTTCCACTACCATTACTACACCACAATCAATACATCACAATATGGTGGTGGAAAGGTTGTTGTTTGTATTTATTGGATTTATTTGGTGCTAGTTGGTAGCGTGGCACATACCCTATTTTTCGCTCCATAAGACACACTTTTTTCCCCCCAAAAGGTGGGGCAAAAATGTCTGTGCGTCTTATGGAGCGAATCCCTCTCGCCCTACGCCCGGGACATGCAGTTTTGGGCACCGAGCGAGTAGTTTTTTTTGTACATTCAGCCCTGCTTCTGACAAGCAGAGTTAAATGTACAGTGGGAGCCGCTGCTCTTTTAATACAAGTGATCTAATCAGATCACTTGTATCAAATCGAGCGATGGCGGCGATCTTGTGTGGGCCCCCGCCGGGGTTTTCGGGGTCCCCCGCTCCTTTGGGGGACCCGAGACCACAGCATAGGAGCTCACCATAGAGCTCGTAGAGCAGACCAAGAACATCTGTTCTTGGTCTGCTCTGTGTGATCACTGAGACCGTGGCAGTGTAATCACAGCGCCACCTGTCTCAGCTATCACTAACTGCAGCTATTACAGACTCCTACCCTCCCTGCGTCCTATGGTCCGGTGCGCCTTATGGAGCGCGAAATACGGTAATTGAAAAAAAAGTGGTTGATTCAGATTCTCTGTTTATAGTGTTCACAGCTGTTAGAATATTGTTGTGAGGTAACTGTATATATTAATACTAGGGAAGTCCTGATACTAGTATCGGTCTTGGCGGCCCGATACAGGGCATTTTCAGGAGTACTTGTAATAATGCCCCGATACAAAAGGCTGATACTGGCCATTTGAATTTTTAAACAAGAACGGCTGCCTGAGGTTCCACGTTTGCTGTGGACCTCAGGCAACCTTCTGGGGACCTAGCAGCAGCCGTTTTTGACAGCGTCAGTACAGTCCCACATCTTCTCCTCTTCCTTACCAGCTCCCGCTGAGACCGGCACAGCACTGGACAGCCGCACACCCACCCTTTCAGCCCTGAAGAGCCCAGCACCCACCCACAGAGCCCTAGGGAGCCCAGCACCCACCCGCAGAGCACTGGAGAGCCCAGCACCCACCTGTACAGCCCTGGAGAGTCCAGCACCTGCCAGCAGAGCCCTGTAGAGAACAGCACCACCCACAGAGCCCTTGAGAGCCCAAAACCCACCTGTACAGCCATGGAGAGACCCTCATGCAGCCCTGGTGAGCTCTGCACGCAGCCCTGCTAAGACCCAAATGCAGCCATGCTAAGACCCAAATGCAGCTCTGGAGAGACCCAAATGCAGCCCTGGAGAGACCCAAACGCAGATCTGGTGAGATCTGCATGCAGCCCTAGTAAGACACAAACACAGCCCTGTATAATTGCTCTAATAATTGCTATATAATCATGGATTGGTGGGATCTGTAGTCCTCTATAGCTGGTTGCCATTCTCCATTGCTGAAGAATCATGGTTACAGTTCTTCATACCTATAAAGAAACTGCCCTAAAATCATTAGTTTCTATTGTTTAAAAAAAAAAAATGTCACATGTCCCTTTAAGGAAAAGTATCCATAATTGGTATCAGCAAGTACTTGTACTTGGTCTTGAAAAAATGGCATAAGGACATCCCTATTTTATACCAGTAAATATGTGATGCTTTTCAATAATTACTAATTACATTCCCAAGACCTCTACGACAGCGGTGAGATGATCATGATATAGTTGTTACAGAAAATTACATTCAGCTTCAATGATCCTTCAATGCTATCATTTTATTTCTACTTGGATTATACTCGCACAGAGAAAATGTTCTGTCTCAGTTTTGATAATAGAACAAAAAAGAGTGTGATGCCTGGGGGTGGGTGCACTGAGGGAAGAGTGCTTTCTGAAGTGGGAAAAGGGGCTTTTACAAAGAGGGGTGTGCCTAACTGAAGTGGGGCTGCACAGAGCTGGATGTGCTGTCTACATGGGGAGGAGGGCACAGAGAAGAGTGTCCTCAATAAGTAGAAATGGAGGGCAGAAATTTGCTGCCTGGGTTAGGGGGGAAGAAGGGACAGAGAGTGTTATAAGAGGTGGTGGTGCACAGTTTGGAGAGTGCTATGGGAGGTGGTGATGCACAGAGAGGTGAGTTCTATGTGAGATGGTGGTGCACAGAGAGAAGATTGCTGACTGGGGGGTACATAGAGAAATGTGCTGTCTGGGGAAAGAGGGGGGCACAGAGAGGAGTGCACTCTCTGGGGAAAGGGAGGGCACAGAGAGGAGTGCACTCTCTGGGGAAAGGGAGGGCACAGAGAGGAGTGCACTCTCTGGGGAAAGGGAGGGCACAGAGAGGAGTGCACTCTCTGGGGAAAGGGAGGGCACAGAGAGGAGTGCACTCTCTGGGGAAAGGGAGGGCACAGAGAGGAGTGCACTCTCTGGGGAAAGGGAGGGCACAGAGAGGAGTGTGCCTTCTGGGGAAGGGGGCACAGAGAGGAGTGTGCTGTCTGGGGAAAGAGGGGGGCACAGAGAGGAGTGCACTCTCTGGGGAAAGGGAGGGCACAGAGAGGAGTGTGCTATCTGGGGAAAGGGGTGCACAGAAAGTGGTGTGCTGTCTGGGGAAGGGGGGGCCACAGGTAGGAGTGTGCCTTATGGGGAAGGGAGCATAGAGAGGAGTGTGCTGTCTGAGGAAGGGGGGGGGCACTGAGAGGAGTGTGCTGTCTGATGAAGGGGGCATAAAGAGGAGTGTGCTGTCTGAGGAAGCGGTGCTGTCTGGGGAAAGAGGGGGGCACAGAGAGGAGTGCACTCTCTGGGGAAAGGGAGGGCACAGAGAGGAGTGTGCTATCTGGGGAAAGGGGTGCACAGAAAGTGGTGTGCTGTCTGGGGAAGGGGGGGCCACAGGTAGGAGTGTGCCTTATGGGGAAGGGAGCATAGAGAGGAGTGTGCTGTCTGAGGAAGGGGGGGGCACAGAGAGGAGTGTGCTGTCTGATGAAGGGGGCATAAAGAGGAGTGTGCTGTCTGAGGAAGCGGGGCACAGAGAGGAGTGTGCTGTCTGAGGAAGGGAGGCACAGAGAGGAGTGTGCTGTCTGAGGAAGGGAAGCACAAAGAGGAGTGTGCTGTCTGATGAAGGGGGGCATAGATAGAAGTGTGCTGTCTGGGGAGGGGAGGCACAGAGAGGAGTGTGCTGTCAGAGGAGTTAGTTAAGTGCAGTCATTCAGGGACACACTGGGGGAAGGTTTTAAAGAGTTGTGCAGTTTATTTACTGTTGCTTTTATGTGTTACTTTTCTTCAAATTTATAATTGCAATGAAATGAGAGTGTATTTTGCACCTCTAAAAAACATTGATTGAGTGAAGTGTGCAACTTGTGCCATAAATCAGGATTGATTTTGTGCATAAACACAGCTTCACCTAATTCACTTTGGTAAGTGAACAGTCTTATTAAATGTGCTTCTAAAGGAAACAAACTGAATTTAAGGTGCTGCTCGAAATATACATACACAGAATAAACTGCTTAGGTAGAAATATTCTATGTGTGTCTTATTGTTATGTGAAGAATTCCTAAAACGATCTTTGGCACTAAACACTTTCTTTTTTCCCAGGACCCCCTGGAATTTGTGGCCTTTCAGTGAAGCTCAAAAATACTACTTCTGCCACTTTGACATGGGACCCAACCACAAGCAGTTTTACTCATTACAGAATTCTGTTCACCAATGTGACATCTGTATGGGAGTTTCATATCTCTGACGGCCTGGCAGAGTATACAGTAACACACATGCTACCTGGTGGAATTTATAATTTCACAATTCAGAGAATGAAAGGGACTGTTGTGGGGGATCTTGCATCTGTGCAAGTGGTGGCAGGTTTGTCCTCTTTCTTTTCACACATTAAAATTGGATTCGGTTTCAGTATTTGCAAGGCGTTTAAACCAGCTAAGGTTTTACACAGTGAGCTGGGGTCATTTAAATGTGTGGTAATGCTTACTGCACATGAAATGAACCTTAACAGGATATAAACTATCACCTCCTACCTGTAATTAAACCCACTGATTCATAAAAAGGGAATCATTTGTGGAGTGGCAGTTATCAATGCATTGCTAATGGCTGAAATGTTTCCAGTATATCTAACCCCAAACCATTGTTTTTATTTAGTATGGAGTAGGGAATATTTAAACTTAAACTGTTTTTTTGTGTCCCGTTTGAGAGTCCCCTTTACTGCCTGTTTTGTAGACACAACTAAGAGAGGACAGCTATTCAAAGAGAGGGCAGTGCCTTTTTAAATCTAATCGATTCCTACTGTATATTTACACTAAAGAGGATGGGAGATGGGTGGGAGAATCTTCCCTGCCTGGCTATTGTATTGTGAAAGCTGTTAGAATACCCAAACAATGCCTACATTTGATTCAGGTGACAATTTTCCATCGACATCTTTCATAAAATTCTATTGAAAAATCATCTTTTGTCAAACTGGGTGGTGCCCACAGGGCTACCTACAGCTGACAGTGGCAGCTGGTGGCTGTCTGAATACCCGAATGGAGCTTGCAGCTGATTGGCTACGCCATGCTCCTTCAGCAATGTCAATCCAATGATCAATTTTCCTATATATAAACACCTAATTAACAAAGCAAAATGTGACTATGCTTTTCTTCACAATCAAGCTATGATAATAATAAGCAACCAATCAGAGTTCAAAAGTGTAGAGAGGATCTGGTACCCTCAGTAACATAGGCCTACAACTCCATTGTTAATGGCCTCACATTATTTAGTATTAAAACTTTCAAAAGTATCCATTTGACTTGCAACTTTTATACAAGGCTACCTTTGTGATATGCATCATAATTAAAATTTACACACTATATATAGTCTATTATTGACACTAAACAAATGAAATAATGAACACATGTAAAAGCAGATATTATATTAAGGGACATCTTCAATATTTATA